GAGGTTGTTCAGGAGTATGTCTACCTAGGACAAACCCTACAGTTTGGTAGAAACAACTTCGAGAGGGAGGCTCGTAGAAGGATACAGCTTGGCTGGGCGGCATATAGGAAACTCTATCGGGTCTTTTCGTCAACTCTACCGCAAAGCCTGAAGACGAAAGTCTTCAACGAGTGCGTCCTACCAGTCATGACATACGGAGCCGAGACGTGGACACTAACAGTGCGACTGGTCCACCAATTTAAGGTAGCGCAGCGAGCTATGGAGAGGGCTATGCTCGGAGTATCTCTGAAGGATAGGATCCGTAACGAGGTGATCCGACAGAGAACTAAAGTTACCGATGTAGCCCAAAGGATTAGCAAGCTGAAATGGCAGTGGGCCGGTCACATTTGTCGAAGAACCGATGACCGCTGGGGTAGACGTGTTCTAGAGTGGAGACCGCGTCTAGGCAAACGTAGTGTAGGGCGCCCTCCAGCTAGGTGGAGTGACGATACACGTAAAGTGGCTGGTAGTGGTTGGATGCGTAGAGCTCAAGACCGAGCTCAGTGGCGTGCCATTGGAGAGGCTTATGTCCAGCAGTGGACGAAAACAGGCTGATGATGATGAACGAATGGAGTTTCTTGCTCGTTCTTCTCCGCTCGAATCGACATTTTGGAACGAGCGCCTAGCTTAACTAACGGACAGACTGACAGACTATTATTTATTTCATATTTGTTGACGTTTCAAAAGTACCAAACTATGGTTTAATTGAAATAAATGCTTTTGAGTTGGAGTTGAGTCGTGCTCAATTGCATAACTTTCACATATTTTTCAAAGTTTTCTAATGCCACAAACTGAAGCGCTCAGCAATACCATATCGTCTGCATAGCTAAAATTATTAACACAAACATCATCTGTGACAACCGACACGTCGGCTGCTGCGCTCCCGAATCAAAGCATTTATATAAAATTAAACAGCCGAGGCGAGGTCAAACCTCCCTGCCTTAAGCCACATTCTAATTTATATGGATCTGAGAGTGTGCCTGCTCACCTCACACTATTAGATTGATTACTATATACACTATACCAATACTTCAAAATGTTTACAAGTTGAGAAGATACACTTACTTCTTGTATTTTTTTCCACAGAATATCATAGGAGACCAGATCAAAAGCTTTGTTCAAATCAAGGAAGCAGACAGCGTGCTTGAGGCACACATAAATGAATATGAATATGAATACTCAAACAAAGAGTTAATAGCCACAATAGCCTTAAGACTACAAGTGAAAAAAAATATTTGAATTTTACTTGATGATTTTAAGTCCTTTATTAGTTATTTATATTATGATACGGGTAAAATCATACAATATATATAACACCTATATCTATATATTCAGGTTTGGAATAAAAATAACCTTTTACAATAGATACTAAAACATACCAAAAAGAATCTAAACCATAATAAGAATGTAGGTAATTTTGAAATCAACAGGTCAATGCCACTCTTTTTCAACAAACATTTCAGTTTGACTGACAGATGATAAAATAATAAGGAGGGTAAGGCCCTTGCCCTTTGATTGATATTTTTTTTTTTAAGGGGGGAAAATCATCGAATCACTGCTCCCGCCTGGGTGAGGCTCTCAGACTCAGGGAGTGTCAGACTCTTACTGACTAAAAACCACCCCGTTCCTTCTCCTGCACGTCGAGTTGGAGCCCCGGTTACCCGTTAGGTTCTCCACGACACCCTTTGATTGATATAGGTCACAAACCACTGTAAGAGTGGTCTGTAATTTAGGACTTCTCCGGGACTAAGAATCCAGCACAAGACCTCTTGCAAGTTTGTAACCATTTGACTCCATTAGTTATAATTGGATTGAAATGTCAGAAACAACATATTGGTATCAGAATAATTATGCTACCTATTATTGTAACTAATTAATTCTGATATCTTCAAGTCAATGTCACTTTTGCCTGACAGATGTTTCAGACCATACAATGATATTTACAGTGGGTAAAGCCTTTCAATTAACATAGATACATAGACAAATTGACAAATACATGTGTATGTGAACTTTTATATATTTGTAAATGCACCCACAACACAGAAGAAAATCCTAGTGTGGCAATGTTTTGTTTAAATAAAAGAAATAAAGTTTTTGAAGTATTTGGCGACCTAAAGAACAGGGACTGAATCCATACATTTTGGCAATGGTTGTATGTTTCTAATTGTTAAAATAAGAAGTATTCAAAATTTTTAAACTATTCGGTACCACTAGAAAGCTTAAACTAGTTCAAATATTCAGTCAGAACTAGACATGTGTAGGTAAGTGAGTATCCTTAGAGGCGGAGTGTTTATAATTATGTAGGATTAGGGTCAGTCAGTGCAGTCAGTGGGTCACCTTGTAGTTCTTAAGGATAATCAGTGACCTAAACCTGAAGTTGTATAGCAGCGACTCACCATCAACGATGTAAATGTATTCGCTCTGGCTGGAGCCCGCGGCCGCGCAGCGCACCGCGGCGGCGCAGTGCGGCGGCTCCATGAGCTGCGCGGGCGCCCACCACGCCCCAACCAGCGCCAGCACCAAAGCCCAGCGCGCCATACTTCACATTCACAAACACATCATGCTCGTACCTACGTCACTTGTGAGTAACTTGTGTTCAGCTTTTGTACCTAATTTATACGTAAGTGTTATAAAAATACTGATAAATTACTGTAGTACGAACAAGTCACAAAAATCGTCACAACGACATCGATCGTCAGCACTAAATGGTTTACTTTTTAGTAAATACACTAAAAATTTAATAATAATTTTAGTTTTATCACACTGTGTTGAGGATAAAAAATGAGGAAAACCCACACAAAACTCAACAGAACTGCACAACATACAAATACTGACAACTACCTACCTATATTAACTGAGCTTGTTTATAAATTACAATGACTTGACGTTTGAATGGTGATTGTGTTTGTAAATTTTACATGAATGTGCGTGAAGCGAAACTGCGCATGTGTTATTTTGAGCTTTCGTAACAAGCAATAAGGATCATTGTCAAATGCCGCAGGCGACCCGAAGCGACCGCGCTGTTGACAGGTTTCACGTTCGCTACCTATGCGTTCGCTCGTCGTACGCGCAAAACCAAAGACTACACTATAGTCCTATATAGAATATAGAGTTTTGTACAAACTGTGGAGAATGCGAAGACAGTTTTGTCTACCGTTTATAATGTCTATGGATGGACCACTTATGCTATGATTGCTATGAGCGAAATGTCTTTTAGCGCTTGTAAACTATAATAAGTAGATTAAAGTAGGATACTATATGTAATATGTAGATTTTAGTTATTTTGATCTTTTCGGCACATTTTGCACCTTTGTAAGTAGCTACTGTACCCCGCTCGCGCCGCCATCTTGGAAAAATGCGACAAAAACCAGATTTTTTACAATATTTTTTTTCCTGTGCATTTTACGAGAAAACCGTTAACTACGAAATTAAACTACTTACAATTTTCTACAATTTATGTATCGATAACTTTTTTGTAAAAGTACCTACATTTTTATGAGAATTTTAGGAAAATAATTATTATTTCCACACCACGTGAAAGTAGAGTAAGCGGCGCGTTTTTTTATATTGTAGTCGTTTATAGGTCTAATGCTCATGTGATTGTGGTACACACTTTAGGAGCTGACCATAGGTAATCTCCGGCCGTTATAGCTGTTTCTGATGTACCAGTTACCACACATAGGAAATTTCGACTTGGCCACCCATCGATATGTAATAGTCGTTACTTTGAACGAAAATGCCAGCAATGAATCCAATGAAAATCATAATAAAGTGAATTATCACCATATCGGAAAATGATGCCTAATGAGTTTTTTTACAATCACTCTTTTCCAATAAACACGAGAAAAATATCTGGAACAAAATTGAACTAGATTTTCTTACAATTTCTGTACTTACTACAACATTTTTGTAAAATCAGAAGTTTTGGTGTACGAGCGCCTCAAAGCAGATACTTACACTTCATTTTCATTTAGAAAAAAACTTCATTCACTCTCATTTTAATAGACCCTTAAACTGATCAAAACATCGCCGATCACAATGTCGCAAGTATTTTCGTTTCGTTGACTGCCTCGTTGGCCGAGTGGTTGTAAGTGCGACTGCCGCGCAAGGGGTCTCAGGTTCGAGTCCCGGGTCGGGCAAATACTGTTTTTTTTAATTCGCAGTAGTAGCACGGAGTCTGAAATTGTGCCAATAGGCACATATATATATTTGTCGAAGATGGTTGCCAAAGGAAATTGTAGATAATCTGTGGCAATTAATTTAATTTGTTCCAATTATTGATTTAATAGCAGCGTTTTACCTGAAATAAAACGCATATTAAATACTTACTTCACTGGAAGCTTTATTATTGAGAGAGCATATCCGTTTCCGGCGATTTCTTATCGATTTTAAGTACTTTTTTGACCTACCCAGTGGCGCCACCTGGTGTTTGCTTGCCATTTTAGTTTCGTAAAATGTCCGAGCAACATTTTGTTCATTGGCTCAATAATAACCAGGCAGAAGTAAAACTAAAGCTTCCAGTGAGGTAAGTATTTAATATGCGTTTTATTTCAGGTAAAACGCTGCTATTAAATTCTTGACCGTCACTGGAAGCTTTATTATTGAGACCTGTTTGTTATCGCCTGGTGACGCCACTAATGTGCTAACGCCAATGTGATAAGAATTTATTTGGGATTTTTAAAACACAATTTATTAGAAAAAATATATATTTTTTACAAACATAAAGTTACATATTTATTTGATTGATCTATTGGTGATCTAATAACAAAACAAAAACATAAAAAGTGCCTAGTTAATTAATAGGATTAAACAATTCCGTAACATTTAGATTCGAATCACCACTTCTTATCACTTCTCTTCTGTAGAAATTCTGAAATGTATTAGCTCATTGCCAATTTCCTCGAGATAGGATTTCGTCCAGGGGATGATTTTCTAGCCAACTTTTAGATGCTACTGCAGATCGTGTACTTCCTGGAGTAGCTATGATGCCAGCTTCTTTGAAAAGGGTTTTAATCCAGCCTGCAATGACAGTGCGTGAAGCAGGCTTTGGTACACCTCGGATTGTAATAAACAAATTAAATGAGTTTGAAGCATTACGTCGTTCATTTAATAGTTGTATAGTTTTCTCTATCCAGAATATAGGATTTAGATTACAATTGTTGGGATTTGTAAGAAGTTTCCAGCCAGATTGTCTACGAGCACTACAATCCGTTTTTGAACCAAATTGAGGCCATAATATAATGCTACCATCTGATCTAATATAATAGTCAGGATCAACTCTAAGCAGCGTTAAGTCATGGATGCGTCTACCTGAGCAAAGTAATAATATAATCGCAGTATGGCGTGATATTTGAAAGAGATTGTTTACGTTTACGGTGTAATTGCTCATATACGTGATTAACTGACTAACATCCCAAATTGGTGGCTTAGGACACTTTGGATTTTTCAGAGAAATTGATTTTAAAATATGCTTTACAAGGACATGTGAACTTAATTGATTTGATCTGTCGGCATTACATAAGGTGGAAACAACAGATTTATGTAAAAGAATCGTATTATATGATAAATTATGAATAAGATGCAAATCAGATAAAAATTGAGCTAGTTGAGTACCTGACGGATTGTTCGTGTCAATGTTTTTAGACATAGACCAGGAAGTCCAACGTTTCCAAGCTACCTCGTATATTTTCAATGTGGATTTACGCCAAGAATTTTTGAGCAATAACCGTTGTTCAGGGGTCCATGTTTCTATCGCTTCGGACCACCCCCACATTTCCAAACTTCGAGGATGATTTTGTCTACTTGTGGTGGTGGAAGCCCCGTCGATGTGTCGATCAGGTGCGTTTGTAAATCTTTCAGAGTTAGTGGTGGAGCTAGTGCGCGGACTTTGAGATCTGCACGCCAAAATACCTTCTCCCATCGAGGTACTATTATTAAAAATATTCCTGTTGATTGATTCAGGTGTGTTAGTACTTTTGGAATTAAGAACGGAGGTGGGAATATCCATGCAAGTGGATAGTTCCATGGGACACTGAATGCATCGTGAAACAGAGCTTGTCGGTCCTTCAGGTCTCGGGATACATAATTGTAAACTACGTGGGCTGTCTCTGATGCAAACAAATCTATTATTGGAGTTCCCCACTTTGCAAACACCATTTGCGTACAAGCTGGCATTAGGTGCCATTCCGGAGGTCGGCGAACACGTGACAAGTGGTCGGCATGGTTGTTGTACTTGCCTGGGAGATGGTGTATGCTGAAGTGTATTTGAAATTGGTCCAATAAATTCAGAATTTGATATGTCAATTTTATTAAGGGTAATGATTTCGTACCTCCTTCGTTCCTTAGATAGCTGACAGCTGTCCTGTTGTCGCACTGTATCAGGATCGAGCTGTTGCGGAGTAGGTGAGCGTGGTCTCGGAGGGCGCGAAATATGGCGAGCATTTCTTTTTGATTGGAATGCAATGTCTTTTCCTCTTGCGACCATTTGCCCGATACAGCCAAATTGTTCAGTTGTGCTCCCCAACCTTGGTTTGATGCATCTGTTGTCAGGAAGTTTATTGCCGGGGGGTAATGCAGAGGTGTTGATAACTGACAATTCAAGGTCCACCATTCTAGCTCCTTTCGAACATTTTTTGGCAATGGGTAAGTTTTCGATACATGGTCTGGTAGTGAGTTCATGAACATCAATAGTTGTCGATGATTGAGTCGGCCCCGAGGGACGACGTAACTGGCAAAATTTAAGAGCCCTATTATTTTCTGCAGCTCTTTTACAGTTACTATTCCTTGATCGAGAACTGAACTGACCTTTTTGATAAGCGATGAAGTCTTT